AAAATGAACAAAGAAAATTATGATATATAATAATAATGAAAGAAAATTATGATAAAATATGACTTAAACATCATTTATAACATCATTTCACAGTACTGTACATATAGCCTACTCAACTTATGACCAAATCATGTTATGACCGGTCTGTCGGAACCAATCGTGGTCGTAAGTCGAGCACTAGCTGTACATATTTTTGTTAAAATGAGGCATATATGTGTATAACACGTATTATGTGTGTTAAATTACATATATGTGTACAACTTATATATGTATCCACATAAGTAAAGATTTGTTTTTAGCATATGCATTTGCAATTGAAGAAGGGATGGAAGTAGAGGAGGACTCATGTCCATACCAGTCTGAATGTGTTATTCCCATGTGGCCGAGAACCAGGGAAGGGGGCAGATCAGTGGTTAAAGACACAGACTGGAGCCAGACTTCCTGGGTTCAAATCCCAGTTCCATCAACTAGTAAGTTATTTCCTCTGTTTGTGCCTCAGTTTCCCCATTTATAAAAGGGAATACTCATGCTAATAATCATGCTACCCCATGGAGTCATAAAGAGGATTCAGTGACTGACGTTTGCAAAGAACTCACAGCAGTAACTGACGCAAGGTAAGCCAAACTGTTCACTAACTGAAGGCCGCTCAGCCAACTGGCCTTGTCCAAGGTGCTGATGGTCCTAAAGCCTTGGTCCTCGTGGAACTCCAGGGCTTGTGTGGCTGCAATGTGGCCTCATCCTCTCAACTGAGTGTTTTAATGAAGACGGGCACTCCTTGTGTTGTGTTGCCTTTCCAATTCCAAAACTCAAGGGCAAGGGCTCCACAACTGTAACGGTGGAGCCCCAGATCCCCTAACCTTGTCTTTGACACTCCCTGGTCTGACTCTGCAGCTCATTTGACCGGCTGGAGCTGCAGTACTCTCCTTATGTGAGCGAGTATGCCTCAAATGCATGCCCTACCTTGTCCCTTCTCCCCTTGATAGGGGTTTGTTACCACCAAGTGACTGCAGTTGCGGGTCAGGGGTTAATGGCAACTACTAGGGGGTAGTTTGGTGGCTGTGGTGCAAGAAGAGAGGTTTATCAGGGTCCTGGGAATGGCTTGAGGTGGATGGCAGGCAGGCACCCTGTTGCTGGGTCAACTGTAATCAGGGGCTGCTGTGGTGTTAGGCCTCTCTTCTTCTGACTCTGTGTCTGCCCCTCCTGGGCCGGGGTCTGGAGTGCAGCCTGGAGCTGCAGGGGTGTGAGGAGTGCTCCCTACCTAACAACCAACCCCTGCTGAAGGGACGGTGGCTCTGTGGCTCCTGGGCATTCCAGGCTGTGGCCCTTGCTGGGTTTTCTCTGGGGACAGGGTGGCCCCCCCTTGATATCCTGCAGCTCAACCTTTGCCCGCATGCCCTGTTAGTCTGGCCTGACCCAGCTTTCCCCAGGCCTGAGTCTGACAGAACCAGTAGCTGATAGGCAGGAACCAGGACCCAGACAGTTGTCAGCTGTTTGAGGAGTGTGCCTCTGTCTCCTCCCTTTCTGGGTCATAACCGAGACCAGGGTTGGCCTAGAGTAACATCTCTCATGCTAGTAGTCTAATGGGGTCTGACAGCCAAGGGCTCATGGGGCAGCTGGGTCCTGAAGGAGGCAAGGTCTGTGGAGCTCGGGATTTCCAGAAGCTTCAACTTCCTGCCTAGGTGGTTGCATGCACTCAGATCCAGGGAAACTTGGACTTGGCTACCCAGACCCAAATTCAAGGGCATCATCCTAAGGAGGGCACCATCCTAAGGAGGGGATCTGAGAAGACGAGGAAACAGACACTGATTTGGCCTTATGAAAAGCAGTGGTAGCTGGGTGGCCTTTGAAATTGGCAGAGGTGGTGAGAGGAAGAAACAGACATTCACCCTGTAGCTGACATTGAGTGAATATGCAATAGGATAAGCTGTGTAGCTGGTACTATTCTGAATAAAATATTAACATTTAATCCTGCCTGTGACCCTATTGGGGGTCACTACTGTCATTCCCATTTATTGATGATAAACGGAGCATAGGGAAGTTATGTAACTTGCCCAGGTATTCACACTGCGGAGTGATGGAACAAGGGTTTGAATCCAGGCACTGTGGCCCCAGAGAGTTGCCCTAAGTGTACATTACCTTGTTTCATCTTCCAGAAACTCCCTTGTGGCAATCTTATTCTCACTCTTCAGAAAGAAGAAAGCCTTTGAAAGTTTTACATAACTTGTCCAAGATTCCACATCAGTCAGTGGTAAAGCTGAGACTCAAATCCAGGCCTAGGCCAACTCTGGATCCTTCACTCCTTCCACTAAACCAGAGGTCTGCAAACCACACACTTCAGGCCAAATCCAGCCCACCACTTGATGTTTACAAATAAGGTGACCATGCTGTGACAGCAGTTGAGAAGTCGCAACAGAGACCTTTACAGAAATAGTTTGCCAAGCTCTGCACTAAACTCACAGGATGAACAAAAGGCAGCAGCTCCGGCCTTTATCTGTCTATGCCTGACAAGGTAGCCATTTATGGCTTCATATGAGTTAGCCCATCAACTTTATGCCAGGTCTCTGAGTGTATCTCATAGGGTCAGAAACAGAAAGGACTTTACAGAATCACCCCATCCAACATTTTCATTTTACAGCTGGGAGAGCCAAGGCTTAGCAATGACTTGTCCAACATGACTAAATCATCCCATAAGAGTAGCTGGTCTCAAGTGGACACTGAGGGGGCCAATGCTCCCAGTCCCGTGCAAGAAACTCCAGTTAGGTGACCAAGTCCTTGTAGCTCTGCAGTCCCTTCCCACAGTTCTGTGGTGTCTGTCAGGACTTGTCTGGTCCCCACCCCACCTTATTTCCGTAGGACACCGAATTTAATATGTAGGGGACCTGACTTTGCCCTTCGGTAGCTGTGTGGCCTTAGGCGGGTCAATTCTCAACTCCAGCCCCGGTTGTCTCATCTGTCCAGTGGGCATGGTGTTCCAGTTACTGCCTATCTTGCAGGATCATTGTTAGGGGTAAAAATGAGATATTTGCTGTGGGATGATTGATAAGAAAAGTCAAGCCAGGCCCAGTGACCCACACCTGTAATCCCAGCTACTCGGAAGCTGAGGCAGGAGACTTGCTTGAGACTGGGAGTTTGAGACCAACCTGGGCAACCTAGTAAGTCACTGTCTCTACCAAAGCCAAAATTAGCCAACTGAGGTGGCAAGTACTTGTAATCCCATCTCCTCAGGAGGCTGAGGTGGGAGGATCACTTTGAGCCCAGGAGGTCAACACTGCTGTGAGCTGCCATCGCACCACTGTACTCCAGCCTGGGTGATAGAGTGAGACCCTGTCTCAGAAACAAACTAACAAACAAACAAAGTCAAACATAATGTGGGGTGATGGAGATTCAGAAATAAGGTCTATTGTCATTCTCATTTAGTTTGTGTTGAAAGGCAGAGACCGATGTCGTGTATCATCAGAAGAGAGAGGACCCCAAAGATAATATATACTTGTGGGTTTTAAATATTTGAAAATCTGATGAATGTGTGGACCCTCTTTCCCAAAAACTGAGCTCTAATTCATTCAAACAAAAATTTGCATTCAATCTCAGAAGGTTCTGAAAAATTTTGAAGCCCATTCATGAATACTTAGTTCTGACTACTCCTGATCCACTGTACAGAGGAAAAAATTGAGCCCCAGAGAAAGACTACGTATATCAGTGCCTTTGGGAAGGAAATAAAAATGAAGCTATCCAATCTCCAGAAATAGGATGGGGTGCAATTAAGTTGGGGAAAATTCAGAAGCCTACCAGATGCCTAAAGTTAGGCTCATCTGTGTTTCTCCAGCTTCTCCTACTGCGTTGTCAGCCTAAGGGAAGGGTGGAAGCCTGGGCAGCCAGCTCCTTCATCACCCCCGCAAAAGATCTGGACCAGCCTCCCTCTCCTCCTCCCACAGGATCACTGCTCACTAGATCTCGGCAGGCACAAGGGAATGCCGGAAGCACAGCTGCCTTCTGTTTGATTCACTATAATAAAGCCCAGCTCCCATTCTGGGTTGAAACAAAATGATCAGAATGATAATAGCCTCTCTGGGATGTCTGCCCAACTCCAATTTGTGAGGCCAAACCACTCCTACCCCAGGATCCTTGGCATGAATGTGTTTGCATCTCCCAGCGCTGCTGTTCAAGGCTGGCTTACGACTGTCCAAAGAAAACCCTAAGAGCTGCAAATTGAAGGGACCTTATGGGTTGCGTAACCTTCCTCCCACAATTCCACCTGACATTGCATCCCCAGGAGACATTGCCTGCTATCTGCTTGCATATTTCCAAAGCTGGAATTACTACTTCCAACAACAGCCCATTCTCTGTTCTGGTCAAATCTTGCAAGCTATCTTCCTGGACTTCCTACCATTGGTAGTATTTCAGCACTTGGGCCCACCACACGCTCTCTGACAGCCTTTACATATTTGAAGACATTGACTGAATACTTGTTTGACAACACCTCTTTTATATTGGCGTCACTATCTGCTTGCTGGCTTGTACTAAAAATAATTACCTGTAAGTTCACATCCTCTCCAAACAATGACAACATTCAGTTTACATCTTCCCCAAACAGAGACTTAGATCTTCTAAGGGTCTACATGTAAATGTATCCCTCTCCCCAGAAAAATTCACACATGCACTAAATTGTGTATTTAATTCAATCAAACAGGAGGTTCTGAGCCCCTTGAAACTCAGCCTTAGAAATGAAAACTAAACTAAATTAAACCTGGTATTACTTGGTGCCCTGTTTTTATTTAAAATATATGTTGATCGTAAAGCTAAGATTACAGATTTAACCCCTTCCAATCTCCTTTTCCATAGGTTCTAAAAAGAGTTATTTGATTAAAAGGTGGGTCACTATGACCAGAAGCTCTTCTTTACTAGCTGGAAGCTGATCATAGACACACCCATTTACCTTACATAATTTGTAGCATTCTACCTTCATGAAAGAAAGCATTCGGAACTCCACTACCAGATACATAGCCCAGGAAAAACTCTTTATTATTCTGTACACTTATATTTCCACAAAGATAACAGCTTTCAAAATAAATCCAAATCAGACACAGAAATCTGCATGACATTGGAACAGTCCATGACACAGAGAGGACAGAATTGAAACAGTCTTTATTTACACAGAAGCAGAGAGACAAAGGGATGAGGGCAGGTACCCCAAAAGTGACTTCGCATTCACCAATGTTTCAGTGGCTTCTGCAACCACAGCAGAGCTGTGGATCCCGGGACTCACAGGGCATGACAACGTGTTACCCTCCAATGCCTCAAAACAAAAAGGTTGGATTAAAAACAAATACCAAGTGTTTCTGGAATCAGCTAAAAATATCTGAGAAAGAGGAACTATTGAATGTCCAGAAAAATCAAAGTTCTGAAGGCTAGACATCTGACATTTCTCTGATAGAGAGATCATTGGTCATCAGTTCATTCTGGAAAATTCTTAAAGTTAGGTGATGTGTTTCCTTCATTGCAAATGTAACAGGAGAACATCATTATGGAGACATGCAGGGATGTCTTTAATGGAATGGGAACTTTGGTGATCTGATACAACCCCTGATTTTAAAGACAAAGAATCTTGAAACCCCCAAAGATGAAGCCACTGTCCTCAGGCCACCCAGCTAGTGGTCTGCACATCCAATTCTGTAAAACTCTACATGCTGTTCTGTTTCCACCACACTACGTGCCTTCTCTGTTTTTCTCTCTTCTGCAGCTTTCAAAGGAAATAAACAAATGAAGTGAGTTCAATGGACTTCTTTACTAAGAAATGACTTATTTGGTAAGAATGCCTCAGTCTCACATTAGTGAGGCTGGAAAACAGAGCATATGTGAGGAACTGGCTCCCATCTGAGCGGCAACTCCCTTTGAGAATTAAGGCAGCTTCGGGGATTTCTGTTCAGCAGGATATCTGGCAGTTGGTAGCTCTCTTCCTCTCTTGTCTTGTCTTCATCTAGAGTGAAGGCTAACAGGTGGTTGCTAAATAACTAGACACTGAGTAGATGTAAATGTGATGGTCTCAAACTGATACTTTACATTTCATGAAAAATAATAATTCTTTAAAAACCTGACAAAATATCAAAAGTGTCAAGTGTCATATACAGTACACAGCACCCTTGTCCTAGGTGACCTCTGCTATTAAAAAAAGGCTACAAAAAGGAAGTCAAACATGACTTAACATAACAGAAAGCACATACTCTCTCTCCATTACATGTGGGTGGGAAAGGTAAACACAAATAGTCCTAAGCACCTCCGCGAGAACTTCCAAGGGCTTTCTGGGTACCCCCAACCTCCTGGGGGACCTGGACTTGGAGCCAGGCTCCGTCCTCCGCCCCCCGCCCCCGGCAGATTCAGGAGCCAACTTCTGCCTCAAGGCAGCACCATTGTGTTGGTTCGGTGTTGATTCAGCTAGCACCATATCTCCCATTCACCCCTGGGACAAAGGTCTGGAGGCCGAAGGGGCCACATGCAGACGGCAAAGAGGAAATGGCAGGCTCTCTCGGAAGCATGCCCCTGCTCTAATGCACACAGGCTTTGCTGACTGCTTGCTCTCATTTCAGCCAAGTAGACTCAGCTTTTCATGTCCAACTGTTCTGAAGAGTGATTACGTTCATCAAAAGAGAGCAGCTGAACAGTTTCCTCTCTGGAAACCAGCTAGAGGAAAATACATGGCATTCTCTCACGTCTTCCCATCCTCCAACACGTTGTTCTTTTGCTAAGAAATAGTCCCTTGGCACTTGAATGAGTTTTTTAGAAATGACAGCGCTGGGTGAGGTGAACCATATTGTGCAGGGAATTTCAAAGTGCTCTGGGCTGAGAGTTGGGGGATGCGAATTGAACTGAAGGTCCAACTTGATCTCTCAGTTGCTGAGAAACCTTGAGCAAGAGTGACTGAAATGCTGAGCCTTGGGTTTCTCACCTGGGAAATTGGGAGACAGAAGCTATAGCCCTGCAGTCCCCACTGGGCAGACGGGAGGTAATGTACGTAAAAGTGCTTTATTACCAAAAAAAAAAAAAAAGGTAACATCTAGGAAGAAGTTAGCCTTCATGGAAGGATTGGAAGTTACCAATGGGGCCCAGACCCCAAGCTGATTGTTCTCCTCCATTCTCAAGCTTCATTGTTCATAGGGCTTCAAGACACCTGCCACCAGTGCTGTCTCAGGCTTTCAGCTGATCTTTTTTACACGGAAGGATTCAAAGTCTCCTGAATTCCCCTTTTTTCCTCTATAGAATGACCTGAGGAGCCTGACCCTGACCCAGCAAGGAAACCTCAGGGCCCTGGGAGACACAACCCTCTCCCTGCCCGACCCTGGTCCCCTCATAACCCTCTTCTCGCAGGATTCACCAGGTTCTGCGACACCCTAGTTTTAGGCAAAGCACCTACTCAACGTGCGAGTGTAGCGGCCTTTTTATTTTTTCCCAAGATTCTGCAACAGGAGCTCCCACAGTCAGAATACAAATCCCTCCAACAAAGGCTTGAGAGACTCTAACCGTAAACAGAACCCCTCCCAAAGATGCCACCAATTGAGCAAAGTAGGAATCACTTCTCTTACTGACCACCACCACCACCACCAGAGGGCACCAAGTGCAAGCTTGTATCAGAAGTGAACCTAGAAACTTTCTCTGAAACCACCAACCTGTCCCATCCACTCATAATAATCTCTAATATTCTCCCCTCCACTTGAGAGAGTATTTCTGCACTGCTTGTCTCACCCTGCCCTCCAAGGTGCCGCATCTAGTGTTTACAGTCAACTCTCCATTTCTCAAGATCCCTGGGTCCACTCCAGGATATTCCCAGGGGGAGGCTGTGCAGGTGTCCAAGAACAAGAAATTAACACAACAGGCTGCCAGGCTGCCTTTGGGCACCCACCTGGCCTTGTGAGGACAGCATGGTGAGAACACACGTGTGGCCTCACTTGGCTCCTGTCTCCATTTCCCCAGGCAGGTCTCAGGAAGTGCAAATGGGTTTCTGGGCTCCCTGTGTCTCACAGAGCAAGAGCAGCATGAAGCCTCAGTAGTCATGGCTTGCCTCGTGGCCTCTACCAGCTTGTCTGATGTAGGCAGCTCCTAGAACTTGCTCACTATGGTTCATTTACCCTCTTCCTCCTGGCCCCCATAGCTCTGGGCCATCTTTTTTGTAATAAAGCACTTTGGACCACCAGAAGCTGGAGGAATGTTCCAGATCACACGCATCAAACTCAGATTGGCCAGAGTGAAAATCAGCTATGAAAGTTTCTACTCCAAATCCCTCAAAGCATCTATCCACTGACTTCATTTTAGGGACAAAAAAAATCTAACTCCTGGACTGAGGCTCAGACACGAGAGGGCTGCCTCAGGTAGGCAAGAAAATGAGGGTCTATGTACCTTTCCCAACCACCCCACTAAACTCAGCCAGACTTCATGTTTGATATTTGCTTTATTGGCGTCTGATCAAAAACCCATCCTCTCTGATTTGGTCAACTAAAAACTTCTATGCCGGAAATCTAAGCAAATGTGATGGGGGTTTCTGACCTCAAGGACCTCGCTTCGGCAGGCTCCCAAAGTAGGAGGGACTTCCCCCAAAACAAAGGGGACGCAACAGAAGCCGTTTTCCTGTTTGCTCCTCTCCTCTGAGCTAACAGCCCCCAGGCCAGATGCACAGAAGGCGAACAAAAACTAGAGCCATGAAATCATCTGTAATTGGTAAAAGAAGAGAAGATCAGAAGGACAGCTTCCAGCAGAGGAATCCCAAGACGGTGTCCGCGGCGGGAGTGAAGCAGCTGGCTGTGATCCGGGCGTTGACATGGGGGTTCCTCCTCCTCCTCCGGGCAGGCTCAGATGGCCAGCCAGTGTTTTGACTGCAGAGAAAGACAGCAAGGACTTGATGACATGGTGGGGACTGATAGGAGCAAGGGCCAGCTGGTGGGGGCAGCAGGAAGCAGAGGAGGCAGAAAAACATCCCCTTCCTTCACGGACTTCAGGGAACATGCAGGTCAATTCCCTAACTGTCACAGCGGCCCCGAAAGGGCAGCAGAACCTCCCCAAAGTTACACGGCAAGCCTGAGGCCATGGGCTCGCAGGGAGCCTCCCTGTCCCCCATCCCTTTGCCCTTTGGCCAATGTGTTAGCCCTGCATGCTCTAATACTTGGCCAAGGTATTGCAGCTCTTCCTTCAAGATAAGGAATTTTCAGCATGGTTGGTGGCACTCCATGACAACAACTCATAGGGGTTAAGCAGAGTGATAGGAAAGACTGGGCATTTGGCATCCCAGGATCAAGGAGCAGAGGGGCAGCCATGGGCTGATAGAAGGCAGAAGATGGTCCCTCTTCTGCTCTGACCCTGACACCACACCCCTGTGGGCTACAACTCACGCTGGGTTTCTGGGTTTTCTGACTGTGAGGTCCAACCTTGGGCAGTGCACAGGAGGGAACAGCCAGGGCCTACCCTTATGATCCCCACCCCAGAGTGTCAGGCTGCACCCACCTGGAACTGTCTGATGTCCCTCTGAGCCACCAGGTGGTGCTCGTTCTCCGGTGTGATGCCATAGGCCAGTCTCTGAAAGGAGGAGGAGAGGAGGCCTCAGCTTGGCCCAGGGATACCTGTCTGGCAACCCAGCTACACCCCCGGCTGAGGGCCACCTGCTATTTGGCCCTGCAGCCTCACGTGGATGGCATTCGTGGTCTGTACAAGACACCTCCAGCCTTGTTTGTGGAGCTGGTCCATTGAGTCATTCATCCAACCAGTGTTTCTTGAGCTGCCTACTGTGGTCAGACATGGGCTAGGCCCTGTGGATCCAGACTTGAAGGAGACCCATGCAGTCTCTACTGTGGGGGAGCTTACAGCTCATGTAAGGGACTGGCAATGAACAAACACACACGTCTTAGACCCAGATTGGAGAAAGTGCAGCAGGGAGAGTGTGGAAGGAGGCCTCTGGTCCTGCAGGGAATCAGGGAAGCCCTCCTGCAGTGGCGGCACTTTCAGGGTCTCAAGCCATGTGTTCTGAACCAACAATTGATCACTGATAGCAGGAAGCCTTCCCCCACCCGAAGTGTAGAGAATAGAAAGCTCAGGTCCCAGTTCCCATGTCTAGAATGAGGTCACTGAACACTGGTCCTCCCAGGGACCCAGAACAGAGGCCCCCCCTGACCTCCAACTTAGGGATTTCACAGACAGGAAACGTATCACAAAGATTGAGGGTGAGGACTGTCCATTGGGCACTCCCTTCCTTGCATTCCGGTGTGGCTCACTGCCTTCCATTTTGTTTACCTGCCCTTCATTAGAATGTGAACTCCATAAGGGCAGGAATTTTTGTCTAGTGCCTCGAATACTGCCCGGATTATATCTGGGTCCCAATAAATACCTTACAAGTGAGTGGATAAAGGAATGAAGGAATGAAATCTTTGTTTTGTAAAGTAAGGATGTGAGTAAGACTATCATTATTAGTTTATGAAAGAAAGGGTATTTGAGTCAAATAGGAATGACATAATTTCAGGATAAAGGGCACTGTTTCCTAAATATTTATATAAATGTGTGTGTGTGTGCGTATATATAAGTACATATGTGTATATATATTTATACACATATATGCAGAATGCATAGAAAGAAAATGTAGTTCAGAAATCTCTGGTTTAGGCTGATCAGATTATTAGGTTCTGGAAAGCAGCAGGTGAGAACCAGGTGGAGCAGATCACAGTGGGCTTGGATGGGGAGAGCTGGGACATCTGGGGAAATGACAAAGCTTAGATGGGGACACGAGAATGAGCTGGGTTCAGGTAGTCTGTCTAATCAATCCTTAGTGAACTCCAGGGCTGAGCTCACCCCCAAGGAACATGTACCGAACACCACTTGTGCCCAGGCACTGTGCTAAGTGTTTCCTTTTTCTTTTCAGGGCATGCAGTATTATCCTCAGGATATAGATGTGGAAACTGAGGCTCATCAGGGTAAATAACCTGGCCAATGAGGTAAATGCATCTGACCCTAGCGTCTGTGTCCTTCTGTCTCCCTTCCCCCACCCAACAGGAATGAGAACCCTCCCGTCCCCCTCAGCCACCTCCCACCCTGTTCCCCTGGGAAGGCCCAGAGCTCACCTCCCAAAGAGAGCCCTGTGTGCTGAGGAGCTTGTAGATGATGTAGATGGGCACCAGGACCATGGAAGACAGGGAGATGCCCCACCCCACCCAGTTGGCCCAGGGCGGGAAGATGTAGTCGTCATAGCTGAGTGGCTTGAAGTTGATGATGCTGACCACGACCACGAACTAGGGATGGGCAGGGAAGGGAGAGAAAGGAAGACAGGGCAGAAGAGAGACAAGCAGGGAAAGAGAGAAGGAGGTGGGAGAGAGGTGGGAGAGAAATGAAGAGCAGTGAGCATCACAGTGAAGGGAGGAAAGAAGGAAGAAGGGAAAGCGGAAGAGTTGGAGAATCAAGAATTCAAGAAGCGAGTGATAATCAAAAGGAGGCAGAGATGGCAGGGAACAAGCAAAGAGGAAGAACAGAAGGTGACTTTGGAGCAGGCATAACAGCCCTCAGGGACCTGGCCCCCGCTCGAGAACCCCCCCATTAAGGTGGATGCCTACCATGTTATCCACAGGGCCAAGCATCCCAAGTGACCCCTCTACATGACTAGGGTCTCTGTATCCCAGAACCTCCCCCCTAAGCAGCAAATATCCCCACCCAGCTCCATCCTGGGCACACCCCGCTCCCCACATGCAGGGCTTCCCGGCAGACACTACACACCAGGAGGAAGGCAGGGCTGACGAACTTCCAGCACAGTCTCCAGTACAGGCCCGGCCTGAACCCCATCATCTGCTGGATGTCATTGCTGAACCTGTCCACTCCTGTGCACACAGAGGATACCCTCAGGGCCCTCAGGCCTGTTACAACGGCCCCCGAGACAGCCAGGGCCGGGTCCTCCCATGAGGTTCTGGCCCCCGGTGGAGAGCAGGGCAGTGGGGCAAACTGCTGACACCCTGGGACTCAGGAGAGTTGGGATGGGCACTTTGTAATGCAGAATGAGGGAGAGGACGAACTCCAGACCAGTATCTCTTTTCATGTGCCACCCCATTTAACTTGTCAGAGGGAAACCTGGGCTCAGAGAGGTGAGGGGATTTGCCCCAGATTCCACAGCCGGTCGGCCTAACTCCAAAGCCCAGCTCTTTCCTCTTGCTTACGCTTGCTCTGAAAATAACAAATACGACTATACATACAGACATTCCCTGACTTCAATCTGATAGCAGAGCCCAGCCTCTTCCATTGATTCTCTCTCTGAGTGGTAGCAGAGAGAGAACAGAACTAACATGTTGGTGTGACACTTGGGGGGAAAAACAAACAATTAACCCATTTAAGGTTTGTAAAATAGTCTCTCAGTTCCCTTCCAGAATAAGTTTTCCAGAAAAAATACAGGATACCCAGTTAAGTTTGAATTTCACATAAATAATGGAAAAAAATTAGTATAAGTATGTCCGATGCAATATTTGGGCTATACTTATACAAAATAATGATTTGTTATTTATCTGAAATTCAAGTTTAACTAGGCAACCTGTGTTGTATTTGCTAAATCTAGCAACCCCTGGTAGAATGAATTGTATGACTTGGGGGTCAGCATTTTCCTAAGGGTTCCTCTTTTAGAAGCTGATGCTGGATACCCTCAGGGGCCTCTGCAGCCTCCTGTTAAGGGTAGGTTCATTCAAAATGAGCCAAGGATTGAGATTTGTTCCCAAGAAGCAACGTGCTGGACTCTGGAATTTTAGGTGGCTGTCCTGGAAATGGCAAGCTGAGGCTTTTCCACACACTCACATACCATAAAACCAGGAAACTCCGATGGCTTCCATGAGGACAGCAAAAAGGATGGAGGTGCCTGCAGCAAAGGTGTCCAGGAGCGTCAGCACATAAATTCCACCCTGGGGCAGGAGAGAATAAGCCTGAGGACCCTTTTGGCCAAACGTGAGCACTGACTGTTGTGTCCATCAAGTCTTACCTGCCCCTGTCCCACTTGCTCAGAACCCTGTTTGAGACCACAGACCGCAGGGGTGTGGTGCTGTTGTAGTTATGGTACAGTCACCTCAGTTCAGCCAATAAAGAGTTAGATGGGTTTCACAGGGACTTTTGCTGCCCCTCAGGTCAATAAATAATTAACAGGGTTGAGTGGAATCCTCAGCATCAGAGATGGAAGAAGACCACCGGGTGGAGGATGCTGAGTCCTGCATTGTTCTCCCTGAGCTCAGCCCCAGTGTTTGACTAAGAATCTGCTCAGAGGCCCCACGTGACCCAGAGCCCAGCCCTTACTCACCTTGGTTATGCAGAACAGGGCGAGAAGGAAGGTGCCGAAGGTGACGCCAAATGTGAAGAGTTTCCGGTGTCGCTTCAGGACCGGGAAGTCGTCTGCCAGGCCCGTGATGATAGCCTCCATGCCTCCCATCTGGAGGGAACCAGGAGGGGTGGGGTGTGGGAATGAGGGTCTCTCTGGACCTCAGTCTCAGGCTCCAGGGTTCCTAGGGCCTTCTGCAGCCCAGGACTCCCGCAGGTTGCCTTGCCTCTCTGGAGAAATCAGCACATCCTGCCTTCCTCCCCATCTTCTCGCCCCATTTCTGTTCTGTTCTCAGGCAAACTCAGAACTCAGAAACTATGTGGGAGAGGGTGAGGGTTAAGTCAGCTCCTGTCTCCCCTACTCAATAGCTACCTGTCTCCTGCCCCCTCACTCAGCCCGAGTGGCTACAGATAAGCTGATAGTGGAGTGAAAGCAGTATAACACCAAATCCCATGTCAATAAAGGTCTCTGGAAACAACTCCTGCAGAAGAGCTGCTAGTGATGAGAACTTCAGACAGTCGTTTTTGATAAGGATTTTGGGCTGCTTTTCTAATGATCGAGCAAAGTGGTCACTTCAAACTCCAGACTCTTAGAGTCTGAAAGGGTCTCGCATCCATTGCTATGAGCAGATTGTTTCCGTATGAGGCCACTGTGAGGGCCAGACAAGTATGAAAGCTACCACCGTCCCCTCCCGTCCCCTCCCCCCCCCTCCCCCCCTCCTCTCCTCTCTTCTTGGCAAACACTGTTAATCAAAATTAGTATTCCTCATTATAAGCCCAGAAGCAGCCTCAAAATCCTTCTTAACACACTGCTCCTGGCAGATCTACCGATTGAAAGCAAAAGGCAGTGGGAGGAAACCCAAATGCCAGCCCTTCCATAGATTTTTTGCAAACTTCCAGGCATGAGGTACTAAGGGCAGACACAGATTTTAAAAGACATCATTAAACCCAGTCTTACATTTGGATATAATAAAAGGATGTAAGAAACTACTGATGTTCAAAGTGTTTTTATTTGTTTGCTTGGGTTTTGAGTTTCGTTTCGTTTTGTTTTTTTAAACTAGATCTCACTCAACCCAGGTTGGAGTGCAGTGATGTAATCATAGCTCACCGCAGCCTCCAACTCCTGGGCTCATGTGACCCTCCCACCTCAGCCTCCTGAGTAGCTAGGGCTTCAGGCGCATACCACCATACTGGGTTTTTTTTTTTTTTTTGTAGAGACAGGGGTCTCCCTATGTTACACAGTCTGGCCTTAAACTCCTGGCCTCAAGCAATCCTCCCACCTCAGCCTTCCACGGCCCTGGGATTATAGGCATGAGCCACCATTCCCGGCTTTTTGATTATTGATGATAAAATACAATGAGAAAATGCCTGTTTAGAGAACAAGACTCTAACTGTGATCCCCTCTGAATCATTTCCCCGCCTGCAAGAGGACGGCGTAGGGCTGGCTTATCTGAAGTCTCTTCTCATCTGAATTTCCAAGATACCAAAGGGGTTCCTATGGCTCTTGGCTTTGGCCTAAGTCTTATCTTTTTGAGTCAGGACTCACTTTTTTTGTCTACATTTAAATAGGGCCTTCTGAAAACAACTATTAACCAGGTGTTTGAATAGTGGGAACTTCAGGCCCAGCACTGTGTGTTGGGGGAGGGGTCAGGGCCAGGAGGGTGGGGGACAGGTATCTTGAGCAGGGTCACTTACTGAGCTGTCAAGGCCCAGCGCCAGGAGCATGACGAAAAACACGATAGCCCAGAATGTAGATCCAGACAGGGTAGAAATGGCTTCTGGATACAGGATGAACACTAGGCCAGCTCCTGTAAGAAACATCAAGGACCTCATCAATGGCTGAAACGATTGGTCTGAGCTGCACGTGGTAGGGGAGCATCTGGGAGCCCAATTGGTCAGTCATGTGTGGGTGGAGCAGAACACAGGTCTAGAGATAACAGATGAAGTCCGCATGAACTTACAGCTTACCTGTGCATTGGAGAAGTTGCCCCCAACAGCCAGGCTGGAGAGCAGTTTTCTGCCTGGTAAGCTACAGACTACACGCTGCATACCCCACCACCTATACTCTACAAGGCATTCACTCTTACTCACAAAAGCTTGGGGTCCTCAGAATGCATTAGAGGTAGCCCTTCCCCAGGTCTCAGCTTCTTTGTGGCCATAAAGATTTGGGAAGCTGCAGGGAAGGACACAAGCTCCAGAGCTGGATCGACTGGGGTGTGAACACTATTGTACTGATCACCCCATTTCCTTACCTCCCTATAGCTTGTCCCACTGGTATGTATTCATCGAACTCTGTCATGTAACAAAGACACATTGCTCACCAGCTGGATGATGCCAGACAACTTATTTGGCTTGAGTCTCAGTCTTCTCATCTGTAAAGTGAGTCTACTGACACTTGCCTGGCAGCCTTGTGAGAACTAAGTGGAGGTATGTCAAGTGCTTAGCCCAGGACTGGTACAGAGAGGACATTCCAAAATCTCTTCTTCCCAGCCTGACTCAGAGGAAGGTTCTGCTACATACGTGGGGCCTGGGACTGCCTGAAATTCTCACTAATAACCTCAAGGGAAAGTCAATCACATGAGTGGTTTGGATACCTCCACAGACAGCCTAGCGGTCCTACAGTCAAAGGCAGAGCCATGCAGCCAAGAATAAGGCGGGCTTCTCAGCTCCCTCCACAGTGAGCTGGGGCCCAGGTGGGCTGCCCACCCACCTTCTGTGGCCACATCCTCAATGTTGACCTTGTGTTCATGGGCCATGTAACCAAGGATGGAGAAGATGGCAAACCCAGAGACGAAGCTGGTGATGCAATTGATGCTGCTGGTCAGCAGGGCGTCCCTGGGGGAAGAAGCACAACGAGGTCAAGCTCCTTGACACTCTCAATCCTGTGCATTGATTGCTGGGCCAGTTATAGAACCTGAAGCCTGGCCCCAGCCTCAAAGGCCATGGCCCCTTTAGTAGCTCCTGCTGCCACATGGATCCAGGGCCCCACCATCACTGGCACAGGAAGTAGGCTAACCACATATGGACAGAACAGTCCGATACCAGAGTCTACTGGCAAACTCCTGCCAGGAAATTGAGTCACCAGCCTCCTTCAACAAACCTTCCATGGCTGCTTCCCAGTGCCTTCCAACTCCTCATCCTGTCATTCAAGAGCTTTGCTAAGAAGACCCAACCTTCCTTATAGATTTCTCTTCCATGACTCCCAAGGTGTACTCTGAACAGTACAACTGTGAACTCTGAATAGTGAATTGAAACCAGTCAATTCACTGGTCCATAAACAAGCCACCTCCCTGTATTTGGCTGTGTTGTCCCCCTTCTCCCATAGTGTGTGCTGTCCACTCCACATCTGCCTAGCGTAATCCTAACTATCCTCCAAGGTTCATCTCAAATTCACCTCCATGCACGGCTTGTTTTCTATCAGGGGACTGATAACCCCATTTCCTTACCTCCCTATAGCCTGTCCCACTGGTATGCATTCATCGGACTCTGTCATGTACCAAAGACACTATGATTCTGCCTTAAGCCTTGGATGGAATGTAATGGAAGTGAACCCAAATTTGTGCCCATGCCTGAAGTCCCCACAGCACTGGGCCAACAGGAGGCAGCATTGAGTGCTTCCTGAATTGAGCTAGGTCATGGTCCTCTGAGTCTCAGTCTGCCCTACAATCTCACCTCGCATCTTGCCAGGCCCTCAGCAGCAGGGATATTCTACCCCTGCCTGCCTGGGCATCTGATGGACAGAGTCAGGCAATGCTGTCCACACTGAAATCTGCACAGTTCTCCTCTGTCCCAGCTACCCATCTCCCAGTGTTGGTGACCTCAGCTTTCCCAGTTCCACACCTCACTTCCGTTTAAGAGGCATCCTGAAATGAAACGTGGTCATTGGGACCCTCAGAGGCCACGTCACAGTTTATAGAATGCCCAGGGTGGTCCACAAGAAGAAAATGTGGCTTGCCCAGGGAGAGCTGGCTTCCAGATAAGAACCCTCTCTGCCACCCATGCAAGGGTCAGCCCCCAGGACTGAGAGCGTCCCAGAGTTCTGAGAAAGGTCTTACCTGTAACAGTTGTTGTCAAATTTGTTGTAACTGGCAAATGCAATCAACACTCCAAATCCAGCCCCCAAGGAAAAAAATATCTGAGTTGCAGCATCAATCCATACCTGAAACCAGCAGATAAAAGCCATCAGCCTCTGCTTCCTATCCCATGGGACCACCTCACTGTTCCATAAGGGCTGAGAAACCCTGGGGATGCTCTGAGACCAGAGGAAGTATGGTTTAAACTACAGATGGGCAGCCTTGGCAACTCCCTCCCCTGCATCCTGTACAAAACAACTGCAGAGAGAGGCTGGGCCTCTCTAGCAACTCCCAGCCTTGGGTAGCAGCTGTGAGTGAGCTGAGCCTATAGGAACTCATTCACTCAACTTCATGCCCTGATTTTCAAAGAAAATTAACAATACTAAAAGTTTTAGGCTAGAGTGTGAATGGGCAAGAACAGAGGGTTATGGCCATCTTAGGAGTTACAGAGGTGGCATTTTTAGAAGGGGAGGACCATTCCTAGTAGGCTTCTACAAGCCATAGACAATGGTGACAACTTGGGGGCCAATGGAGCTTACTTATTCCATCCTTTGGGTGATAAAAGCACATGGCTGGAAGCCTGGACATCTGAATTACTTTACGACTTCTATTCCTCATGTTCTAGCCCTGGTCAAGTTCACTTCTCTCTGTTTTCTCATTTGTGTAATGGGGATAATTCTACTTCACCACTCAGACTAAGAGCTGCAATTCAGATTTTTTTTTTTTTTAAGTGGAGTCTCACTCTGTCACCCAGGTTGGAGTGCAGTGGTGTGATCTTGGTTCACTGCAACCTCTGCCCCCTGGGTTCTAGCAATTCTCCCACTTTAGCCTCCTGAATAGCTGGGATTACACTAGAGCGCCACCATGCCCTGCTAATATTTGTATTTTTAGTAGAGACGGGGTTTCACCATGTTGGCCAGGCTTGTCTTGAACTCCTGACTTCAAGTGATCTGCCAGCCTCGGCCTCCCAAAGTGCTGGGATTACAGGCGTGAGCCACGTGCCCAGCCTTCCAATTCAGATTTGAGAGATGTCTATCATCTCCCCACTGGTACTGGTCCAGACTTCCCCAGCTGTGCAAACAGAGGGCAGCACCATCTGATGAGGGAAGACGGATCTGCTCCTTGAGACTGCACTGAGGGCTTAGTTTCTACACATCTAAAACGTTTGGCATCAACAGTCATGGCACAAAAAGAAGTCTGACTTGTTTTGCAATTTACAAGGCTGATTCATGCCTTATGTTCTATTATCTTTCTGGCAGCTACTACAAAAATTGGTTTTCTCTTGGTTACTAGTCCGCAACATTGCAGTGTGTTGGGGCATTACAACCATGGAGATGCATATTGGGATGCATCTTTCCCAATCCTGTGCTGCTGGGGCCTTCCAGAATTATTATGGGTTGAAATAAAGAAGCCCTGGAGAATTGAAAGACAGTATGTTAAGGTGTTCTCACTGAGGGGCGCTGCAAGAGGGGGCTGGAAGTAATCTCAGCAGTTACCTGAAAGTGCTCAAGGTAATGAGTACCTCTATGATTGTCCCTGCTTTCACCCTCACTGCTCTGCACTGGACTCCACTACCAGATTCACCCACTTTCACCATAATTTGAGCCTTTGGACAGGGGCAGTGGTTGGCTGAGGGTGTTGGGGAAGAGGGTTGGAAGAGCCTCCCTGAGGGCTGAATCTATCCTTATGCTGACATCACAGGATTGTGGTAAAGATCAGGTTTGGGGATCACAGAGTAGAAAGAGGGCAGGGGGTGGCTAGGGTGAGCGAGGGAGCCGTGGCCACAGGATAGGAGCAAGGACCCAGGACATCATGTCCTCTTCACAGGGCATTGCTCTCCTCAAAGAGTAGTTTGTGAAGGCCGCCAGATGAAACCACAGAATCCCAGGCCTCCAGAGGTGGGTGGGCTTATGGAGACTGTCAGGTGCAATTCTGCACTGTCAAATGGGGAAGCTGCAGCTCAGACATGGAAGGATCCTGTCCAAGGCTACGCTGTACGTTTGTGGCAGAGCTGGGACCAGATTTTCCGTTATCACCTGCTCCTGAAAGCCCTCCCACAAGCCTGGCCCAAGGCCGGGTGGTCACTGAGCACTAACCGTGGCCTCTTTCAGGCGGTAGAAGTCGATGTGCAGGTAGGCATTGATGCCATTGGAGGCGCCGGGCAGGGTGACACCGTGGACCAGGAGCACGAACAGCACGAAGTAAGGCAGCGTGGCTGTGATCCACACAACCTGGGCAATGGATAAGTTTGGGTGAGAGCCTCGCTCTGGCCCCAACCCCATGGGGCGCTGGTGGGGCACAGAGCCCTTTCCCAATGAGCCAGTCATGCTCTTTCCCACCTTCCTTCACTCAAGGCACATGCTGCAGGTTCCAGCTCTAGGCAAGGGCCTGATCCAGAATCCAGGGCTAGAACAGGAAACAGACACAGGGCCCACTCTAGAGAAGCTCAGAACCCAGGGCGAGAGTCAGCCACACTGGGGATAGCACCATGATGGAAACCAAGGGCACCGAGGGCAAAGACTAGGTTCTCATAGCACCGGATGCCACCTCATCTACAAAGCCACCTCTCCTGACTCCTTCAGGGAAAGACTCCTGACTCCATAAAATGAAGAGTTTTCCCATAGATAGAGCTCTCTCAAGGAAAAGAGCCTAGAGAAGCGGTGAGGTACGTGTCACGGAAGTTATGCAACTGTTACTATGAATATAGGCATTGGCAAAGGATTGCTTAGATCAAGGTGTGACTCATGGACCAGGAAGAACTAAGTACACCCACCTTGTGCTCTCCCCTTTCCCCATCAGTCTTGTGTCCATCACACCATTGCTACTGGTTGCTGCATGCACCTATCTGACTGGCAAGATATTTAGAAATCTCAGTCTCTCTCTCTCTCTCTCCTCTCTTTTTCTCTGTCTCCATCTTCCCTCCCTCTTCTCCCTCTCCTCCACTCTCTCCCTTTTGTTTACCTCTTCCTCTTTTTCTTTACCCTCCTTTAAGCATATTTTCTTTCCTAAGCACATTGCCCAGGAAGGGATGTGGCTGGGAAGAAAGCAGAACCTCTGACCATTCTTCATCTTGGTGGGAACAGATGTGGGACACAGGCGACATATCTTGTTCAGAAATACACGAAAGAAGTGATTACTCCAGACTAAAAAAGACACCCCATCCCCTTGCCCAGGTCGGAGGAACAGAAAAGAAAGGTAGGTACAGGGACGCGGGTGTTATGTGGATTTTTTGCTGTTCCTTCTCACCCTTGGCTACACATTCAAATACTCTGGGGGAAGTTATAGGTAAAAATGTTAAAGCTCAGATCCCATTGTTGGAGTTACTGATTTAGTTGGTCTGGGGTGGGCCTGAAATGCAGCATTTTTTTTAAAGCTCCCCAGGTGATAAAATTGTGCAGCCAAGGTGAGAATCACTACTCTAGGGAGACATAGTCATAGGTAGCCTTGCAGAAAGAATGCTGTGCCCCAAGTAAAAATACCTGGCTAAGGTTAAGGCAGTCAGACCCAAGGAGAACTCAGCTGAAACATGAAAAGGGCTATAGCTTAAATGCTAGATGGTTCCACACCCCCAAAGCTCTGGAACTGTGTATCCCTAAGAATCTTCACACATCCCTAAGGAGAGAGTGGAAACCTGGAAACATGAAAGTTCTTTGCCAGGCTAAAAAGAGGTGGGTGCTAAACAAAAATGGAGATATAGAAAATAAAGCCATATGTTTTTCATACTTATGTTTAAGGATGGGGATTTATCCTCTTTTTTTTTACTTGTCTTTCCCACTAGATCATGGCCCACTTAGAAATAAAATCCTATATTTTTTCAAACTTGTATCCCAGCACCTGGCATATGTGAATCCTAATACATGTTTATTGTATGAATGATTGGATGGTGTTGTGGATGAATGACTGGATTGTTAGGTAAATGGATGGATGAATGATGGGATGGTTGGACTATGATTGAGTAGATGGTTAAAAGGATGGATAAGATGATTAGGTGGGTGGATCGTTGAGTAGATGGATGGATGAGTGGGTGGGTGATAAATCAGAGAGTTAGTGGGTGACTAAGTCAAAGAAGAAATGCATGAGCAAGTAAAAGAATAACTGAGTCAGCACAGGAATGAGTAAATGCATAGTGGCAGTCACATCTGGGCTTAGAAGGAATCGGGCAGGAAAGCCTCCTCTGTTTCATGTTATCCACTTGTCTCTCCACTCCCTTGTTCTAGGAAGGTCTTTGTGGAAATGGGATTTCCACTTGTTTTCTTTCAGGGAGGCAAGAACAGGAAGGACAAATTGCATAACAAATAAGGAGGGAAACATGCATTGGAAAGTGAAGCTGTTGCATGTGGGTGACCTTATGTTAATAAATCTTGGAATGGGTCCCCTGAACTGAGATGAATAGGTCTAAGCCCTTGGCAAAAGGTACAAGGAGGAGCTCTCACATTTCCTTGTAATTAGTCCTAATGGCTCTAGTCTCTTAACACTCATGTCAATAGCTGCAGCCCAGGTGCAATGCCCAGCCCAGCAAACCAGGTGAGACCACACTCCTCCCATCAGAAAACACTATCTTGACTTCTGACTCTAAGGAATCTCCCATGAGGCCTGGAGGTGGCCCTGCATTGGCCATGTTTGATGGCCATGGATGCAATTTCCCTAAGGAATACATTAGGACATGACTGATCTGAAACCCTGACTATAGTCAAGCATCAAGAAAGCAGGAAACTTGTTTTGTCTGTGCCCATGTATTCAAAGCTAGACCATTTGAGTCTTGTTGAAGATTCTCAGAATTGACAGCAGGTGTTCAGCTGCCTAAGATCTTGTGTTGAAAAGGAGATTCCTGGATCTTTGGCCAACAGTTCACTCATGCTCACATGGGCCCTGAATGCACAATGGGTAAACAGAAGAAAGGCTTGGGCTCTATCATCTCTACCACAGGCTTCTCAGCTCTCAGAATTTCAACTTGCAACACAGCTCTGGCCATGAAAAGCTAGACTTGGTCCAATTTTGACCACAAGATGAAGAATGTTATGAGCAGCACATTAGTCTTACAAGTGTCCTTAATCCCTAAGGGAGGTCACTGCTTTCTATCACTTTAAATCTATACCTGCTGGTGTTTCTATGGATAATTTGTGTGGTTCCAGGGTACCAAATTCAAACCAATTGCTCATAATCAAAATGAGGAAGATCTTGGCTCCATAAAAGAAAGAGCTTTCAAATTGGTAGAGCTCTCTCGAGGGAAAGAACTACCCAGGATGGTGGTGAGGTGCTTGTCACTGAAGTTGTGCAAGCCTGAATTCAGGCATCAAGCAAAGGGCTGCCTAGATCAAGGTGAGGTCCATAGACCAGCAGCATCAGCTTCACCTAGGAGCTTGTCAGGAATGCAAATTCTCACATCATCCCCACTGAATCAGACTCTCTCAAGGAGGGACCCAGGAATCTGAATTTTAGCAAGACCTCTCGGTGATTCTTATATGCATGAGAGTTTGAAAAACGCTGCCAAGGAACTACTCTAAGGTTGACTCGAACCCAGAGATGATAAATGTCCATGCTTTACCACTGTAACTCTGCATTAATTTAACCTTTACTGATTTAGAATCTGTGATCCTCTGAACTGAGTTTTAGGGAAATTTTCACTAATAAAAAAAAGACATAATTTCAAAAAGAAGGATTTACGGGATATAGGGTATGCACTGATGTTACTGAGAAAAACCCAAAACTACAATTAGTATATGCCTCACTCATATGTGAATGATGCTGTTCATTATAATTGAGTCCAAGCAAGTCACTAAAGCAAGCCAGGACCAGCACAGCCTTCACTTGCCAAGACCAGAGGTATGAACATTTGCAATTCATTTGATGCCAGCTCTGAGGCTATGGAAGCCTGCTAAGGAAAGCTCAGTGTCCTGTGCCAGGTTCAGTCTGGAAAGAAATAAGCAACCCTCTTGGTTTTCTCATACGCCAGCTTATAAAAGCAATTAACTTCGGGGCACAGGAATGTCCTCAGTGAAGCTCTGCATTCTAGAAACCTCCTCTCCATAGACTGCCTATGGCATGTCTGTTAGTGGTCAGAACACTGAGGGACTTATGCAAAATGTGGGCTATGGCTTCGGAGGACACACGCAGAGGGGACTCATATTCCTCTCTCATCGTGTTTCTACATGGGGGACTTTTCTAGTGTAACACCCAGGTTCACCCCTCATTACCTTCTCTGAAGGTACATTTTGGAAAGAACTGAGCATGCTCAGCTCCACTATTCCTGGTCTCTCTCGCATCAGCCTGCGTGCAGACAACATATACTCCCCTCTAGCCAAGAGCTAAACTAGATGGAGGAAGCTCTACCCTCTTTGGTGATGGCTGTGGGGAACCTAATCTTGGGGTGCAATATTAGAAGTCTGTGGTGGCCCTGTGCCAAGGCCAGAAGCAGTATAAAGCTCATACATCCTCTGCAATTCACAGGAGTGGGCCCTGTCTCCCCTCAAGGCCTCTGTCTGTGCCTGCAGAGGCCAAGACAGCCCTGCTCCTAGTACCCAGGAAAGGCGCAGAGAGTGCTAGGTAAGGCTGGCCTGGGGCTTCCACATCTTCACCACTTTGCTCATGTAGTTTCTTCCACTGAGAATCCCTTCCCTCCCTCCCACCTCTACCTGTGACTGACCTTACAGACCCAGCTTGAATGCCACCTTCCCTATGGTCTTTGGAGATACTTTCAGTTGAAAGAGCTTCCTTTCTCCACTAATGCAGCATCTCACACTTTTTGACCATGACTCATGCTAAGAAATGCCTTCAATATCAAGACAAACTACACATAAACTTACAGACTGCTGTAACAGAAACAAAATTCCAAGAGACAGCTCTTACTTTAATATGTGCGATGATATCTTATTATCTAGACTTTTTCGTTTTTAAAAAGTGTATGTGATGACCCATTAAGCTGATTTAATGACAGTTTTTAAACCTACAGTTTGTATTTCTATTGAAATGTAACCTGACTTCTGGATGTGAAATTATCTCCAAGGTAAAGTTAAGCTTAAAAAAAGCAAGATATATAATAGTGCACATAGTTTGTGACCACTGGGTTTTATTAAATGGGGACACACACATATGTCTCTGGACAGAGATCCAAGAAGCTGGTGACATTGGCTGACCCATAACCTGCCTACAATATGCATAGACTAAAGCAATTGAAGAAGGAACCTGTCTTATTCTTGCATCACTAGTACTAGCATCAAGCCTGGTACATAGTAGGTGTCCATAAATGGTTGTATATGTTGAATTAAATTCAAAGAACACTTAATGAAGTTCCCCAAACTTATATACCCACCCATCATTCAATCACCCAATAAATATTTACTGAAGACCTACTAGGTGTCAGGCATCAGAATGGTAGTGGTCCTATCCTGGCTTTTCTCCACCTTAGACTTTCTCCAAGCCTTAGTTTGCATTTTGTTTCTGTGCTTTCTTAGAGTGGACACTGTGTCCCCAACATGCTGGTAGGAAGTTCCACCTCCATTTCTTGATAGATTTCATACCTACCAGCTGCTGCTTCCCTGCTACTGTCTTTGTTCCCAATGGCATGACCAAAAACTCCAGGAGTATCAGAGAGAACTCTAGTGCACACCTCCTTTCCAAAATCAGTTGCCTACTGAGGTTTCTCCAAAATTTACACCCACCTGATTAAGATAGACCGTTGTGTTGTGGCCCCCAATGAACTCACACCTGTGTGTAATTCCCTCCCACACGGATACTGGGTTTTACTACAACACTTGTTTTGGCCACTGGGACAATAGCAAGAATGATGCAAGCAGAGACTGGAAGAGCTACTTGTACATCATTGGGACTTGTCTGCCTGGGACATGTTTTTGGAACTCAGCCACGATGCTGTGAGAAGCCCATGCACCATAGAAAGGCTTTGTGAAAACATCCCAAGATGCTCTAGTTGGCAGCTCCAACTTAGCTCCCAGCCAGCACCAACTGCTAGGAGTGTGTATGCACCATCTAGAATATTCAGCCCAGCCAAGCCCCCAGATATGTAGTCCAGGGTATATCACATGGAGCAGAAGAACCACCCAGCTGATCCCAGTCAACCCATAGAATTGTGAGAGACAATAAAATGGTTGTTATTTTGAGTCACTACATTTAGGGGTGGTTTGTTACAGAGCACTAGCTAACCAGAACACTGGAAAGAACATTTCCCATCCACATCCTCTTTAATGCAGTCAAGCTGCTAAATAGACCCTGTAGAGCCCAAATGGGGTTGTTGTTCCCATGATATCACTTGGGCTAAAAATCAATAGGAGCCATTTCCTGAATATTCCCCACCCTGAAAGGCTGGCTACAGGGGGACAGTGTCACCCAAGTTTAGAATACTAACTCTGCACTGGCTCTCATTGGTCATCTAAACGTATGCTCTTCTCTCCAAGACACCTGGAACCCTGAGGGCACTTACCTCTGTATCCGAGGAAACACAAAACCCAGCTTACATCTGGATATCTTCTAGAGCATTCTTTTTTTTTTTCTCAAAAATTCAGAGGGGGATTTATTGATCTTATGGTAAAGCAAATAGTCATATTCCAGAGTAGCATGCAACATTTGCATGAAGATTTAGGTCGAGATCCCAGATTTATCAAGGGCATGTTGATGGCATCTCTAGGCTTTGTCCTGAGGCCTTTGGGAATACCCAAGTCCCTGGTCTCTGGTATTAGGGAAGCTTTGGCAGGAAAATATGAGGCACTGTGATCCACTTATACCCCTTCAACCTATTGTTGGGGAGACAGACTTGGGGAAGAGAAGGGAGAGGAAGGGAAGGCATTTGTCCAAGTCAGTGGCAGAACTGGGGCTTGAACACAGGCTTTGCACTTCCAGCTCCATCTTTTTTGTTCACCAGCTACATAATTATTGCTAGAAATAATCACACACACCCCCAAGGTTGATCTCCCAACTGAAAGAGAAACAAAGAGATATTACCTTTCCCGATGTCTTCACCCCTTTCCAGAGGCTAAAATACAAGACGATGACGACGATCATCAGACACAGCAAGAGCTGCCACTGGGGCAGGCCGATGTCATGAATCCCGCTGCTCTCGTGAAGGTGCAGGACACCACGCCTGCCCAGAGGGGAGGGGAGGGGACCAGAGTAAAAGGCTTTAGGGAGGATGACAGAGGCCATGACCACAGGCCAGTCCCTGCAAATGCACGCTGATGGAAACAGGACCTGACCACTCTCCCCTAACTCGGGTGCTCCAGCCACTGCCATGCACCACATGGGTCTGCCCCTGGTCAGCCATGGCCTGTGCCCTTGACTGCTCTGTCCTAGGAGAGGCAAATAATCTGGGGAGATTCCAAGCTCATGGTTGCTTTTAACAGACAAAAATCTCTTAAGTGCCTATTGCTTGCCTGGCCATGCAGAAATAAATAGGGAAGGTTCCTACCTTCAGAGAACTCACACTGTAAAGAGCAGTTCTTAGCAGGAGGGAGGACTATTTTGCCCCTGACCCCCACCCCAGAGGATGTTTGGCAATGTCTGAATGCTTTTTATTGTCATGACTTGAGGAGAGGTGGCATTACTGGCATAGAGACTATGGGCGCCGCCAGACATGCTGCTGTGTACAGGACAGTCTCCAATAACGAAGAATGATCCCACCCAAAGGGTCTATATTGCTGAATCTGAGAATCCCTGGTCTAGAGACTGAGACAAAAGTGAAAATTTCTTCTATTGAGGAACAGCTACTAAAGCTAAAAGTATGCTTATCCTGTGCCCTAGGTATTCAATAGAAAATTGTACATATGTTCACCAAAAGACATGCTCTAGAATGTTTATGGCCGCATTATTCATAATAACCCCAAATCATAAAGTACTCAAACATCCATCAACAGTGGAATAGATAAATTAGGATATATTTATAAAGTGGAGTATTTTTTTTTTTTTTTGAGACAGGCCTCACTCTGTCACCCAGGCTGGAGTTCAGTGGCACCATCATGGCTCACTGCAGGCTCAATCTCCCCAGGCTCAGGTGATCCTCCCACCTTGGCCTCCCAAGTAGCTGGGAATTAGGTGTGCATCGCCATGTCCGGCTAATTTTTATATTCTTTTGGTAGAGACTGGGTTTCTCCTTGTTACCCAGACTTTCTCAAACTCCTGGGCTCAGGTGATCCAACTGCCCCAGTCTCTCAAAGTGCTGCGATTACAGATGTGAGCCACTGCGCCTGGCCTAAGGGAAGTATTATACAGCAATTACCCCTAGAGGGATGGCTTTCACACACAATGCTGAGAGAAGGAAGTCAAATCCAGAAGAGCGCTTCTGTCTGACTCTAGCCATATAAAATTCAGCAGGCAAAACCGACTTAAAAGATTAGAAGTCAGGAGAGGTGTACCCTGGGTTGGGGATGAGGGTGTCACTGACTGGAAGAGGGCAGGATAGGGACTCCAGGACATTCAACATGCTCTTCCCTGAGCTGGCTAAGGTTACTGGCTGCGTTCAGTAGGTAACATTTTCTGAGCTGCCACTTGATGATAGTCACTCCTTTGTAATATGTTAGCCATCAATAAAGTGTTGCCTTTTTTTTTTTTTTGAGACAAAGTTTTGCTCTTGTTGCCCAGGCTGGAGTGCAATGGCCTGATCTCTGCTCACTGTGACCTCCACGTCCCAGGTTCAAGTGATTCTTCTGCCTCAGCCTCCCGAGTAGATGGGATTACAGATGCCCACCATCACACCCTCCTAATTTTTTGTATTTTTTTTTTTTTTTTTTTTTT